AGAGCTATAAGACTAAAGGATCTAACTTTAATTATACTAGTTAAAACAGGCTAGAATATAATTAAAGCTAGATTAATAGCTTTAAGGGCTATAGATCTAATAGTTCTAATTTTAATTATAATAGCTAAGTTTATTAAGAATATAATTAGCCTCTAGTTATATACTTTAATAGCTACTAATTAGATTAACTAAGTATTAATTATATTAGCTAAAACCTATAAGAATATAATCAGGTCCTAGTTAGAGGCTTTAATAAATATAGCTATAATTATCAGCCTATTAATTATTATAATAACCCTTATAGCTATAATTATTAAAGCTCTGATTATAGCTATAATAAATAGAAACCTAATAATAGCTATCCTGATAATAGCTATAGTAATAATAGCTATAGTAATAATAGTAGTAGTAATAATAGCAGTAGTAATAATAGTAGTAGTAATAATAGCTATAGTAAGAATAGCTATAGTAATAATAGCTATAGTAATAATAGCTATAGTAATAATAATAATTATAATAATTATAAAGATAACTATAGCTATAATAATAATAAATAGCCTTAATAAATAATCTAACTGCTCTTATATAAAGAGCTTATTTAACTTTTTACTTCTTATTAGATAGCTATATTACTCTTATATAAAGAGCTTATTTATAATCTTTATCTTTATCAGATAGCTATATTACTTTTATATAAAGAGTCTATCTATAATCTTCTTCTTTATCAGATAGCTATATTATATCTATATAAATAATCTATCTCTAAGCCTCTTCCTTACTAAATACCTTCTTTATATTTATATAATCTGCTTATTTTCTCTTTCCTTCTCTTTTAGATATCTTTATTAGGTCTAGCCAGCCTATCTATCTTTCTTTTTCTTTTCTCTTAGATAGCTACTTTATCTTCGGATAAAGAGCTAGTCTAGCTACTAGGGGTAGTAGCTTTTTTTCTCTTAAAAGATAGTACTTATTATAGTTAAAAGGGTTCTAGCAGGGATCAGCTAGCTATTAGCTAAACCCTACTTAGATAAGCAGCCTAGCAGCTATATATTAGCTGGATTATAGCTGCCTAGATAACCTAGATAACTTAATAAGAAGAGATTATACCTAGAAGACCCTAATAGTTACTTCTAAGTATAATAAATAGTATAAATAAGATAGTCTGATCTAGATTTAATAGCTACTAGACTATAGTAGGATTTACTATAAATAATAATAATCTAAAGATTCTGAATTAAATCTCTAGAATCTATTTTTATTAATTAAAGTTATAAGACCTCTATAATTTAAAGACTTTAAAAAACTTATAAACTCTTTTATTAAAATTCTTAATAATAGAATCTTTAAAAACTCTAGTTAAGGGATTAGAGCTCTAAGAGCTCTATAAGATAAACTATTAAATAGTACTAGTAGTATTAGAAACTAGTTAACTAGTACTAATAGTACTAGGGGTCTATTATAACTATAGTAGATTTATAATAACTATAAGTTACTAAAGGGTTTACTATATAGTAGTAATAGCTTTAGTAATATCTAGATTCTAAAAACCCTAAGTAATAATAGTATTATCTACTATAAGATCTAAAGAAATAATACTAGTAGTACTAAAGTTTACTAGTTAATTCTATAAGCTCTAAGTAATAATAGTACTCTCTACTATAGGAATAATACTAATAATACTAAAAGGGTTTAATTAGCTAGCTATAGTAATAGTACTAGCTATTAGAATAGCTACTAAAGAAGAGTAAGTTTTAATACTTTTAGAAGTTAATCCCTCTATATAGCTATTTTTATTAGTTATTTTAGATCTTCTTTAGTAAAAAAAGCTATTAAGATCTAAACTAAGATATAGAGTAAATTAGAAAACTTTCTTAGTATAGGGTAAAAACTTTTAAATCTAAAGATAAAGCTCTTTCTTATTAAAGTAGATAAGAACTAAGCTTATAATCTTTTAAAAGATTAAGATTTTTAATATAGAGTAGACTAGTTATAAGATAAGTTAGATCTAGAATAGATATAGCCTATAGAATAAACTAAGGAATACTAAAGAGATTATTTTAAAAGATATAATAGAAGAAGTAATCTACTTAGTAAGAAAGAGAGGCTTTATTAGCTATAGGGTAGCTAAGAAGATAAACTATAGAATAGATAAAAGAGTAAATTATTAGCTTAAAGAACCTCTATCTAGTAAGGAGGAAGCTCTATATTTATAGGTATTTTAAAGCTCTAAGAGCTCTAAAGATAATATATTACCTTCTATAATATAGGCTTATAACTATTATAAGGTTCTTATATAGTAGATATAAGATTTACTAATATAAGTATTATAGTAAATATAAAGTTTACTAATATAGCTACTATAGTAGTTATAAAGTTTACTAACTAAGTACTAAGGTTTTTATATAGTAGATATAAGATCTACTAATATAAGTACTATAGTAGATATAAGAACTACTAATATAAATACTATAGTAGATATAAAAACTACTAATATAGTTACTTATAGTAGATATAAGAACTATTAATATAGCTACTATAGTATAATATAAAATTACTAAGTATAGTTATTATAGTAGCTATTATAGTAGTTATAACTACTAATATAATTATTCTAATAAGTAGTTATAGTAGATTAGACTAGTAGCTTTAGTAGGCTTCTAGCTTTAGAAAGCTCTAAGTTAGTTATTTTATTCCTTCTTACCTTATATTAATCTGAGATTATTTAATTAACTAATATAGGGTAACCTGATCTACCCTATAGTCTATAGGGTAAATCTTAATAATTATATCTCTACTTTTTATATTAATAAGAGAAAAATTACTCTAGATTACTAGTAAGCTTATATAATCTATAATCTAATTTACTCTAGATTATTAATAAGCCTTTATAAGCTATTTAGTATATATATATATTTATTTTACTAGTTAGAATACTTCTTTAAATAGTTATTAATAAATCTAATATTATTTATATATCTATTATTACTAGCTTTATAATACTTATATATTAATAATAACTTATATTATATAGCTTATAATAATCTAATTATATTACTTAGAATAATACTCTAATTAGTTTAATCTTAATCTATTCTAGATTCTATTTAGTATAAGTTATCTAACTATTATATAGAGTAGTTTATTTATTTATTAAAATTACTTTAAAACTAGCTTTATAACTAGTTTAGTTCTATAGCTAGAATAGAAATAGAATTAATTATCTTTATAACCTATTTTATCTATAAGTATATACTGTAAAAAAGCTTTTTAATATTTTTTAATATTTTTAATAATATAATCTATTATAGTTTTTAAAATTAGTTAAAAAGAAATTAATTTATCTAGTATTTCTATTTTATATAGTTTATTAAAATAATTAATTAATTAATCTCTTTTATTAATTAACTAAATAGCTTTTTAAATAAATATTATTTAATAAAAGATTTTTTAAATCTTTTATATAATATAGCTTTATTAACTTATTATTTTTTATATCTATAGCTTAAATAATAAATAGAATAATATAAGAAGTTCTTCTTTATATAAATAGCTTATTATTTTCCTAATAGTTTATATATCTTTATATAAAATTATATTTCTTATCTAAATAAATAAATAAAATAACTAACTAGACTTTTTTTAAAATAAGTTATTTTTCTATTATTTTTATATTATAAGGTTTTTCTAATTAAAATACTTTATATTATATAAATTTCTTAATTTTAGCTTTTTTAAAACTAATATATTAAATCTAAACTTATATTTTTATATTTTCTAATTAAATTATTTTAATTTTATAAATTTAGAAAATAATATTAGAAAATAAATATTTATAAAGAGATTTAGAATTAATTTAAATTATTTATATTTCTTTTAATATTAATTTTCTCTATTTAATTATATAATTACTTTTTATTAATTATTTCTATTAGTTTTATATTAGTATTTTAGCTTTTCTAGCTAATTAATATAAAAAAGATTACTTTATTTATTTATTTATAATAAATAGTTTTATATTTTTATTTATAGAACTTTTATTTTTATTTTTTTATTTTTATTAGATATAGTATAGAAATATACTTTTTAAATAGTATTCTTTTTATAATTTTAATAAATTAAGTAAAAATATAGTCTTTAGAGATAATCTAAATAAAACTATTAAATTTAAATATTATTAAGTTTATAAATTTTTATTATTTATAAAAGAAATTAAGTTAATTTATAATTATATCTTAATAAAAAAAATAAAAATAAAATATATTTAGAATATAGATTTTAAATTAGTTATATATTTAATATAATTTATATTTAATTAATTAATTATTTATTTATAGTAAATTAGCTATAAGAGCTTATAAAGATACTTTTTAATATATTACTTATAGTAGAATAATAAAATTAGATATAAAAGATTATAAGTTATATTCTTAAAATCTATAGCTAAAGATTAGCTTTTATATTATCTAGAAATAAAAATAGCTTTTTAATACTATTATTAATAGCTTTTCTAGTCTTAGGAGAAATTATATTACTAAAGTTAGAATAATTCTCTTTGCTTACTTTTTCTTTTAAGATATTAATTATATTAATACTATATTTATAATCTAATAAATTACCAGTATAACTTTGAGCTTATTAATATAGTACTTTAAAGCTAGTATAATTTATATATAAAGCTAGAGTTACTAACTTTATAACTATTTTTCTTCAATAATCTTATAGCTCGAACTATTTATTTTAAATATTTAACTATTTTGTTTTAATTTCTATATATATTAGACATTCTAGTATTCCTTAAGTTATACATAGCTTTAACTTTGTTAACTATAACGCAGCGCTACAAGGTTGTATCAGGAGCGTATAAAGCGACCCCAATTAGGATTATCGAGACAGAAACAGCAACACCTCCGCTAGACCTATACCTTGATGAAAGGGTGAGGGCAACAGAGGACAGATTTGGAGCCGGTTCGATATCGGCCCTGGCACAAGAGATATCCGAAATGGTGGCGAAAACCATAACAGATGCGAGGAAGGGTCAACGCGGTAGGAAGCGGGCTGCGAGGCGACCTGAAGCCACATGGTACAACAGAGGGGGAAGAGAGTTTGAAATAATGAAGGAATGGAAAGACCGATGGGAAGCCGCCCAGAACGAGTCACGGGACCGAACCCTTGGATACTTTCCAGCGAACTCAGACCCAGTATTTGAGATGTCAGATCTAAGGAGACACACGGACCTGAGGAAGCACGCAAGCACACTCCTCACACAGATGAGAACCGAGAGAATAGGGCTGAAGGGATTCTTATTCAAGAGGAACGTGCCCGAGGTGAACACGCCACTATGCTACTGCGGGGAAGATACAGAGGATGTGTACCATATCATCCTGGATTGCCAGAGCTATGAGGATGAGAGGGAAAGGCTTAAGAAGAAGATACCGATATGGGACCGCAGGGATATACGAACGGCCTTAACCTATGCACCCTACACATCAGTTCTTCCAAAGTGAGGAGCCTATGGATTAGATGAGACCCTGACTGACACTTATAAAGTGAAGTCCAAATCTCTCTGGGTATTGCACTAGAAAACGGGGTCCCCGCAGTGTTGATGCCAGAGTTGAATTCCCACCTCCATCTTATGTACATTTGATTTGAAGAAGTGCTGACCAAGAGACATTCTAATATAGATTAAATGAAACTGTTCTATACCGAGAGGGCAACTGGGAAGTCAGGGCTAATGCTCCCGAAGTGAAGTGATGATGAGGTTCTGAAGCAGGGTCGGATACCATCTGAAACGGCAATACCGCACTAGTTAGGAGGGGGGAACTTTGTAGAATATCTGTGCTTCCTTGACCAGGCCTTGTAAATTTTTAAATTCGATAATCCTCGTTCGCTCCGTCAAAACGAGACGGGACTTTGTGCCCTCCACACACCAGGTCAGATGATCTGAAAAGCTTCTTTGCAACAACTCGTCGTACAAGATGTTAAAAGACATGCCATCGATTTTACAAAGAAGAGAATGGAATACTTTGTCAGATATTTTCTCCAAGTAAGGCGAAATGTCCCTGGAGAATATCTGCTTCTCCTCGGTAGAATAATACGCATCCCCGACAGGGTCCCCGGGTCTAACGCGGGCTTTTCGTTTAGCTATCATGTTTATGAGGATATCTTCTAGCGGTACTGACTGCTGATCCAACATGGTTGCGGCTGCAAATCGGACATATGGCTGGGGGTCTTTCAATAGTGCCTCTACCTTGAGGAGAATATTACTTGGCAGCGTTGAGAGCCTGCTCAAGGTAAGTACCGTCCTTTCTCGGATAGTTGCGTATCGGTCTTGTAAAAGAATCGCTGCCTTTGAAAGAACCTCTTCTCGGAGGATTAACTGTTTTTGCAAAATACCGATTATTTCATGTCGGAAACGTACGTCCCGATCTTTGACTAATACTACCAAGTCTGGGAGGATCTCCGTTGGAAGTTGCGATTGTCCACCCAAGGCACGTAATGCTTCAAACTTGACATCCTCTGGCTCTTTAGGATTTTTGATTAGTTTTACTATATCAAGAAGAATCTCCCTTGGTAGCTCTGTTATCCCGGCAAAGGTGCTTGCTGCCGTTGACGCAACATGCGACTCTGGGTCTTGAAGTAAAGGTACCAGATCTGGAAGGATTTCCCTTGGGAACACCGACTGCTGATAGAATGCCAGCGCTGCCGCTTCTCGGACATTGGAATCTGGGTTTTTGAATAACCCCTTCAAGCTGACCAGGACTTCATTTGGAAGGACGGACTGTCTACCCAAGGCCTCGACCGCCACTAGCCGGACATGTGGCTCGGGGTCTTTTAATAGTGCCGCCATATCTAGGATCATTTGCCCTGATATCGGTGATTGTCGGCACAAGCAGGCAATCGACGCCGCCCGGACATCACCCTCGGAATCTTTCAACAGCGCTGCTATCCCTCTGAGAATCTTGTCGGGCAGGAGCGTTCGTTGACCCAAGGCGATTGCCGCTGAGGATCGAATTCTCGGGTTTTCGTCTTCAAATAAACTTAAAACTTCCGTGACTGTTTCATCTGGCAGTACCAACTCGAGCTCCGCTATGGAGAATGATGCACCACGCCTAATACCTTCATCGGGGTCCTTCAACAACGCTAGTATGCGTGACAAGATCTTCCCCGACAGTCCAGGCTGCATTCCCAAGGTCAGCACTGCCATGTTTACCACATCGGTGTTGGGATGTCCCAACAGAATTGAGAGACGCGCGAGGATCTTGTCAGGCAGGGGCGACTGTCTTTTCAAGGCTTTTATTGCCGCAAGTTTCACATCTAGCCGAGTGTCTTTGGCGCAGTAGGCAAACACAGAGTTTACAAGTTCCTGAGAAAGTATTGGCCTATCCGCCAGCGAGTAGAGAAGTTTAATTGTGGTCCGTGAATCTGATTCTTGCATGGCCGCTTCGAAAACATGGTCTGGGAATTCAGTCTCAGCTGCCAAGTCTGAAAAACCCACCACATTGCATTGAAACAACAGCCACTTTTTGAGTAGAACTTCCAGATGCTCTCGAAGCTGCTTCAATTGGGGGATCTTATGCGGCTGGGGTATTTCGCTGAGGCAGTGCATGACCAGTCGTTGATGCGCAGGACCAAAGAGGTCGCGCGGTTGGTCCTCAATGATGGAAAGAAAGCGATATGGTTCCTCCTCATCGCACTTGGAGTGAAGCAAGCCGGCGACGAAGCGCCAGAAAATGTCCAATCGTGCGTCGTATTTGTGTGTCAGAAGGTAGCTGATGGGGGTGAATCGTGTCTGGCGGCGGCTCTCACTCCCGAGACTTAGACATTCTAAAGAACCGTTCGACATCCATTGCTGTACAAAATAACTCGCTGCAAAGTATTCCTGATATGTTCGGTGTAAAAAGTGATAATTTCGGTTCCCTGATGTATCATCCGATGTCCGCAGAAAGGAAAGATGTGGGAGCTCCTTTTCGGGCCAAAACTCCGACGCAGTCTCTGATGGTTCAAAATGGTGAAATACAGCTTCCCAGTCGCGCGGCTCAAAATCGATTAGATCATTGTGCAGACCATTGAAGGCAAGGCCTTCAACAACTCGGATCTCAAACTTGACTAAGGACTCGATCGCCCTCCAGCCAGAGATTCGGATGTAGGGGACTCCCACAACCTTGCCCCTGTATTTCTTTTCCAACCGCTTGACATCTTTCTTCCATAAGTCTTCCGCAATAGCTCGATAAACGGAGGTCATAGTATTGGATATTAGTCCAGCCTTGGAGTCTGTGTTCCAAGTGTGACAGAGAGCATCCAGCTGAATCGGGATCCGCACTAGACTCTGAATGAATGAATGCTGGGCAAGGAATGATTGGATCTCACTTGCTTCCTGCCGATCAGCACCCTTGACGTTCGTGATGTATTCATTCACTTGTTGTGGGGAGAACCCAATCGTTTCCAATTCCAGGTCAACAGATAGGTAGTCCGGAAGTCTTGCTGATGGCCGGGATGTAATGACGATGTTGGGCCGCTGCAAGAGAAATATGAGAAATCCGTGCATCTTATGATCTGGATCCAAACCCTCAAAAACTTCATCTAAGCCATCAAGGACGAACAGAGCTTTAGCAAATTTAGTAGCATGCAACTCTTGGTGAAGCTCTTTGGCCAGCTTTTTACGTTTCTCCGCTTGGCCGAAAAAGTCGCGCAGAAACAGACTCTCAAGATTATATCCCTCGTCAGGCTTTCGCTTGAGCGTACGTAAAGGCACCCACAGGATACGGTCAAATAGGCTCTCCCACATGCAATGATGGACGAAGTCGTGAACCATCTTCTTGCACAAGGTCGTCTTGCCAACACCTGCTCGCCCTCGAATTAGGATTCGTCTTGGTCGCTTTATGCAGTCGTCGGGGCCTTTCCGTGGATCGAAGATTGTGGGCAGCTCGACCCGGATGTCCTCGTGGGGTGTGTCGATCTTTAATCGAGCGTGACACGAGAAAGGGGAGGGCCTATCTGCCTGTCCTAAACTCCCGGAATCTTTTGATCCTTCTGCGGAGCGGTGCTCTACAATGGCAAGATTGATATAACAGTGATCCATCGGCAGGCAGTCGCCCGAAAGCCGTTCGATCCTGAGCCTTTCAGCAGTGTAGTAATTGTTGCGAATCCAGGCGTCCGGGCCTGTAGGAATTCTTAGCAGGCTGTCCCTTCAAAAATAGGCAATGTGTGATGATAGTGTAGGGTAGCAAATGGTCACAAGGGCATGTCATTCGGTGGATCTAAGCGATTCTAAAAAAATATATGTGCTAACCCGTCTTCAGTGCCTTTGTAGCGATCTGTCTCAAGCGGAAGGACACCCGCCTAAATGTTCCATCATCTGGCCCTCTATACTTGTTCAACATGGCATGTCTGGCATCCAATGCAAGAGCAGTCTGGCCTGGGAGGCAGGCCGAATGTTGGTCAACCAGCTGTGCAAGTTAGAGAATGCAAGCACGGTACGCAGATACTGGGACAGCTTACAATCGTTTTATCCTTTGTCATGAGCTTCTTGGATACTTCATCAGGCAGGCCCTTGCATATCTTGTCCAGTTTGGTGGGCATTGTTTCGTAGTAGCAGACAATGTCAATGTCACGTGAATAGGTGCGAATCATGTTGCAAAATTGGTGGACAAGCTCATCTAGATCTCTGCTTCGTTCGTCGTTGCGTAGATAGCTGACCAACTCTGTTGCCCTCTCGCCATACATGGCTACTGCAACAGCAACACGCTGTTCAGCCGGGGTGAAGAGCTCATTTTGACCGCCTTGGAATGGAGTTCCTAGGAATATGATACCGCGAGTAGCGCTAAGAAGATACGTATAGTCACTTTCGCGCGCAGATGCCAAGTGGAGAGCCTGCTAGAGAGTTAGTTCTGTAACGTATTTCCGGGTGATGGAATGGGGAAAACCTTGATCAAGAGTAGTCCTCCAAAGCAAGAGGCAACGAAAACGAGGGGCCGATTCTGGCTGCAGGCCTATCACGTCGTTAGAATCGGTTAGAAAGGAAATAAAAGACTAATTGAGGCGTCTTATCACCGATCGCAACATGTGTAACTCCTCCAGCAGCGAATTGGCATGGCCGAATAGTCCTTGGTCCGCTGCGTCACTATTGACATTTGCATTCCAATCATACGTGAAGATGCGAGCTTCCGGGATCACGTAAGGGAGCATATTTTCATCACGCAGCCAGTGGACTTCTCCAGACGAGTTGTTACCATCCGTCTGGAATGCCACCCATGTCCTCGGTGAGTGTGTTTCCAAGCCGTGAACGGCAACGATACTAAAACCTGTCAGGTCACGCTAGAAACATGATGGAAGTAAATAAAGCTTACTCTATTTTCGTCTCGCTGAGATTGTCACTCGAGCCGGGGTAGACCTGGTTGAGTCCAAGCTTGACTCGGTTCACAATCGCTGACTGTTCGCCTGTCGTCGTTCCGAGCACTTTTGCTGCGGTGTTTGGCAGCATATTGAGCGTTGCAACCTAAGTTGGTTGAAGAAGAGAAGAAATAGAGGTAGCAAAAAGACTCTGTGACTAGAATTCAGGGTTTGGGGAGTGTTATTTTGATGAACAAGCGGCAAAGCTTTACACTGGGCTTTACACTGAGCTTTATACCCCACGAGTTGATACCTACGAGATCAGCCAAGGACGTGTAAGTATAGATAATAATAACACTATCGGGCGTAGGGCGACTCAGCTGTATCCCACAGTAAATCATGACCAAAATCTTAATCACGACAATGGAGATACACCTCATCATCTGATAACATCACCCCTTACTACTCTACGAGCTCTGATCTAATTAAGTGTCTACCTGTAGGTAGTTTGGCTATCAATTCGGGCAGCCCTAGCTAGGCCAACAGTCAATCGCTATGGCAGTTACATCTATCTACCTTTTCTAGGATAGTTTGCGCTTGGTACTAACGAGTCCACAGTTGTATTTTAGTTATGACCTGTTGAGGGGTCGTCACCTGTAACCGAAATGAAGCGTTACTGAACCAACTCCCCCACCAACTTGAACACAACCAATATTTATCGCTGACAAGTTTATTGTTATCCAATGGATCAATGAGGCGGCGAAAATTTGCAGTGTATGCTGCATGATGAGTTGGCTACCTAGCCAAAAGTACTTTTTCAAGCCTTATCAAGTTATCATCTGACGTTACCAATGTGCATTTTTAAGGAACCGAAGCCCCAGCACGCACTCAGGTCGGGTAATCAAGTCCGAGATAGCCAATCAAACTGTAGCTACTTGCATTTGCGGAGCTCAGGCCGAATTTAACTTCGCAGGAGTGCAGAATTTTGTCTCATGCGTTGTCAGCTGAACGTATCACGCGGACCAACCATTGAGAGTGACTGGTCGCGCATTTGTGCAAAACAAAGCAACCCATGTGATGGATATATTGGCGCATTGCAGACACCAACCAAGCACGGCTGCAAGCCTTACTTTGGTAATCTATTGGGCATTGAGTGTCGGGAGGGCTGGTGACCCCTCTTTGAACTTTTCACCCAACACACGCCTCATTCATGCAGGTGGGCTTATTGTATCAGTCGGCGGCCGCCCGATGTCTATGTGAGCAATGAACCAGAAAGTGCGGCTCTTATAGCAGGAGGTATCCGGGGACCCCGGAGTTGCACGTAATTGGCCCCACAAGGAGGTGTCCTTGAAGCCTTATCCATCCTCCCTGTCCCCTGTATATCCCATTAGAATCAAAGATCCATTCAGCTCACCAAAGGCGGGGTTTTATTTTGAGGGGCTTATTTGATAATAATAATAATAAGTTAATTAATCTATCTAAAAATAGAAAGGTATCTAAGTATATAGTTATATCTTTACCTAGTAAAAACCTTATCTATAAGTATTTTATTAGGCTAGAACTAAAAACCTATATTAAGCCTAGAACTATAAATATCTAGAAAGATCTAGACTATATAATAATCAGTATATATTAAAATATATAATCCTTAGTTAAACTAGATTTTAAAGGTAAATTAGATCTTATAATAGTATACTATAGGCTACTAGGTTCCTTAAAAAGAGAGTTATATTAGCCTGGATTTAAACTAGAGATCTTATTAACTAAGCTTATACTCTAAGACTAATCTAAGTTTATTAGGCTTAGACTAATCCTCTCTTAGGCCTTCTTTAGTATAGTAACTAATTATACTACTAGGGCGGGGCTTATTTAATAGACGGACCGAAAGCCTTATTGAGTAACCCCCAACCTTACGCTTGATAATGTCCCATTTGAGCAGCCGACAATCTTATGGCCGCCTTGGTTGAAGGCGCAAGGGCTCAACCAATGCACTATTTGTAGGTTGCGGATGAAGTCAGGTGATGCATATGTGAGGAAGTGTGCAAGAAAGAAGCACTGAAACCTAAGTGTGTGTAAAAAATACCGATGTACCAACCAGGGTAAAGATAATTAGTATCTCCAGCAATCGTACGGTTTGTCGTGTATACCGCCAAGATTCCTTGTGTCAGCTTGCAAGACATGGACCCCCAACGAGACGAGTGCACGTACGAACCGCTGCCAGTCAACTCTATCCGGCTGATTGGCCTTGGTGAAACGGGCGATTCATCCGCAACACTCAAGACAATCAATCTCGACGATGCCCCTCCATACTTTGCTCTCAGTTACGCGTGGGGTACACAGGCAACGGATATTCTGATGGAAATAAATGGCCAAGTAATCCATGTGAGCTCAGTCCTGGGCGATGCCATCCAGTGTTTGCAGGAAGTGAAGATGGATGAGCCCGAGCCAGAAGATCGCGTCAAATGGGTGTGGATCGACAAGATATGCATCAATCAGGATGACTTCGCTGAGCGATCTCATCAGGTCAAGATGATGAACTCAATCTACTCTAGAGCGATTAGGACATTGATCTGGCTTGGGCCTGATCTTGATATATGCTCGGGCGCGTGGCAATTGATTGATCAGATATATGGCGTCTTCCGCGATGAAAATCCAACAGCCAAATTTGCAGCTGACCTTCCCTTCGAGCTGTATTCGGATCAGAGCCACGCTGCTTCAGGCCTCCCTGGATGGGATCACCACATGTGGCGACACCTAAGAAAACTGCTCAAACTGCCGTGGTTCACGAGAACATGGATCGTCCAAGAGGTAGCTCTCTCGCGAAAAGATCCAGTGCTTCTTCACGGGCGGCACAAATATCCGTGGCACCGTCTTGGCTGGGTGTCCACGTGGCTGCGACGTCGGGGGTACCTTCGACTGCCCCAGATTCCGAATGAGATGCAGAACGTCGACACAATATCGAGCATCCGTCGATCCGGGGTCCCATGGCGACTGGATGCGCTGCTTATCGCAACATCCCAAAAGTGTCACGCTTCTGATCAGAGAGATAAGATCTACGGCCTACTTGGCCTTGCTGCAGAAAGCCAAGATCCTTCATGCATATCTGGCACGTTGCAACCAGATTATAAGCTGGAGGTTGCTGAAGTCTACGCAAAAGTAGCCCTCTTCATCCTCCGCGAATACAAGTCACTCTCAGTTCTGACACGCGCAAGCGGAGTGGCACGTGAAAGTGACCAAGTTTGGGCTCAGAACAAGCAGCAGCCCAATCTGCTACCAACCTGGACTCCAAACTGGTGCGATTACCCAGGAGTAAAGAAGGATGTCGTAAGGAGCTTGTCCTGGCTCCTTCAACCAGACACGGGAGGCGCAGAGGTCCTCGGGTTCCCAGAGCATTACAACGCTTCTGCTGGCCTCCCTGTTAGACTTTTCGAATCTTCGCGTCCTTTCGCCCTCAGACTGAGTGGCTTAAGAGTTGATACCGTCGTCAGCTCTACCCTATTCGACGATGAACAACAGTCTTTTGGACAGAATGCTCCTGACCCCCCGCTCTTGATGTTTTGGAAGACGGCGCTTCCATTCTGGTCGGAGGGGGAGAAAACCCTGACGGATTGCGTGACCTCTTGGATCAAGGCCACGACAGCTGAACAACATCGTCTCGCCGGGCGAACAGCCGAGCAAATGATGAAGGACGGCTCGGCATATTTACACAACTACTTGTCTAGTACGGACCATATTCAGTCATGTGCTCCGCACGAGCCAGGAGGCAACGGGCCCTTGTGCGAGCTATCAATGGGCGGTGACCCAGAGGCCTACACCGCGTTGGCTCGCAATTTCTGCGTAAACAGGAGCTTCTTCGTAACCCAGGAGGGTCGCATGGGCATTGGTCCATCAGGGACCCAAGTGGGAGACCTGGCTTTCGTGCTGTTCGGGGGAGGGGTGCCCTATATTTTACGAACGAGCGGATGCAGTTTCTGTTTCGTTGGGGAGTCATATGTGCATGGTCTCATGGGTGGAGAAGCCGTTCGGGCGTGGGAGCGAGGCGAGCTGGTAGAGGAGACGCTTGAGTTGAGATGATTTTCGTGACTGAGAGTGGTGCTGATGGTATGCGGAGCTGGATATTCGGGCACACAAATCGCTATTGTTGAACAAGTCAGACAGCGGCATCGACATGCATTGCCACCAAGTTTAGATAGCAAAGCTCGCTTCAATTTTCAAAACAATCTGTGGCTTCATTTTTTCGCTATCTAAGTAATAGAGTACATTACAGCATTAACTCAATGGCAAATCAACTATATCACATGCTAATCTAGACCTTCCCCTTATTTACCCCTGACATGCCTTGAGAAGGTTGGACTTGTGGATTGGATGGGCCGATGGGCCTCCCTTGCCTCTCGTTGGCTTATGGAAGCGGCGGATGCCGAGGGACAGAACTTCATGGTCAATGGACGGATTTGGGACTTGGAGGAAATCATGTGTCGCCTTGAAGAGCAGCCACGATCTCCTTCATATATCCTATAATTATCTCCAGGATCTCATCCGTACTACCCTCCCTGATTTCCTATGGATTAGTATAGACCCAGATATATAATCTATTATCCTCGGGATATTATAGGATAATTATTTATTTTAGTATTATTATAAGTTTATTCTAACTAACTATAAATTAAGAATTAAAAGCTTTCTAATCTTCCCCCTTTAGCTAGTATTAATAACTCTATCTGTATCTAGTAGTAATTTCTCAGACTTACTATAGAGTTTAAGATAGATAGACTGTTAAAGTAAAGTATTATCTATCTAAGGTCTTAAAGTTATAATCTTATAAAATCTTATAAGATATTCTAAATAAGTATAAATTTAATTATAGAAGTTTATAGAGTAAATTACTAAATACCCTAAAGATATAAAATTAATAATATAACTATAATAGTTATATATTTTAAACTAGTTTTAGCTATTAATTTTAACTCTAAAAAGTATTATAGTATTTATATATAAAAGTAGATATTACTTTTATAAGTACTTATATTATCTAGTAGAAGAAGCTTAAGATATTTTAATAACTTTATATAGCTATACTACTTATCTATTATTAATTTCTTTAGAGTTAAACTTATTAATTATAAAATAAGCTATAATTTTACTTATATTATAAATAGTAACTAATCTATATTTATTATTCTATTCCTTACTAATAAAGATATTTATTAGAGTAATAGAGATAGTATTATTTTTATATATTTCTAAGATTTCTTCTACTTTAAATATTATCTTACTGTTTAGTAAATAGTATATTAGAAAAAACTAAGTTATTTATACTCTTTAAATATCTATAAAAAGTAAACTTCTCTCTATTTTTAAACTAAGAACTTTATTAATATTTTATAATATTAAACTTAGTATAAGTAAATCTAAATATAGCTTTATAGCTTATATTAAATAATCTTAATCTCTTTAAAATATAAGCTATTAGCTAAGTTAGGCAGTTATAAATATATCTATTTCCTAACCTTAATTAGTAACTAAACTCTATTAGCTTATATAATATAAAAGCTGGATCTTCTAGGTTTAATATATTACTAAATAAAAAAGTAGTATATTTATCTAATTAACTACTATTAATATATATTAATATAGATCAGCTGATATTAAGAATTCTTATAAACTAAAGAAATTAGAAGAAAGCTAGTAAGTTTTACTACTATAGAGCTAATATCTCTAATATATAGTAAATATCTACTTATTATTAAAAACTAATATATAGAAAAAAGAGAATAAAGTTTAATAATAATAAAGCTATTAAAGCTTAACTTGTTTAAAATAATAAATATAAAAAGCTTAAAAATATAGTTTTTTCTAGTATATCTAAGAAGTTATATAGTTAGAAAAGTTTTATCTTTATATAAATTACTTACTTATTATTAGAATAATAATTTATTAAATAATTATTAATATTATATCTTTTATCTAGTTTTATATTTATTTTATACTAATCTAATTATTTAATTATATTAATATATTAATAGTTTTTAATATATATAATATACTAAAGAATAAAATTTTAATATCTTTTTTTAAAAATTAGAAAATTATTTAATTTTATATAATAAAGCTAAAAATCTCTATTAGTATATATAAATATATAGAGTAAGTAAAGTTAGTTCTATTTAAAGTAGTTTAATCTAATTAGCCTAATTAGTTTAAGTCTAACTATTATAAGGTTAATAATAAATAGTTTTTTAAACCTCTAGCCTAGTTATAGAAATAAGTTTTTTAATACTAGAGCTAGAAAAACTAGATAAGATATTAGAATAGCTTAAAGTAAATAGAGCTATAATTTTTAAGCTTTCTATAAATAATAAACTATTAGCTATAGAAAGTACTAATAAGAATCTAATAACTAAATTTAAAAAGATATTAAAATTAGAATATATATTTTTTATTATTTTTATTATTATAGATTTAGAAAAGAAAAACTATAAAAGAAATAGATTATAAAAATTAAACTAATAAACTATTTTAAAAAGATTAGAAAAATTAATAGATATAAAAACTTTTTTATTAGCTTTTTAGAGATTTTATAAAATTATTATTTAAAAAAAATAGATTATTTTTCTTATAAATAATATTTATTTTAAAAGTAATATTATTATTATCTATAGTTTAAAGATTAAGTTAATACTCTTTCTAATAAAACTAAATAAGCTAAAAAACTATAGCTTATAACTAATATTAAATTTTCTAATTATAGTTTATAAAAAGAATAATAGAGATTATTTTAATATTAATTCTAATATAAATAAAACTAATTTTTTAAGATTTTTACTATATATAAGAAATATTCTAAGATTAGGTTATATATAACTAGATCTATATAATTTATTTTTAACTAAGTTTTAATCTATATCTAATCTTTAACTCTATTTTTTTTACTTTTTTATTTATATAAACTAAGATAAGATAATAGCTTTTTTAAAAACTCTAAAAAGAGCTTACTAAGTATATAACTTAACTATAGGCTCTAAAAGGAAATACTTATTATCTATAATTAATTATAATATCTCTTTAAACTTATTATTACTAATTACTAACTATCTCTTCTTATAATAATAATAGATATCTCTAATATTATTATCCTCTATAGTTAGAGCCTAATTATTATAAGTAATTAGGTTCTTAACTATATAATAATAATTATTAATAAGAACTCTTATATTCTTATTAATAATATAAAATAATTAAGCTTATACTCTATTATTAGATTTCTTATAGCTATAAAGCTATTTTTAACTATATAGATCTAGTAGTTATAGTTACTAGGCTTAATACTATATTATAAAGCTTATAAGAAGTAAGTAATAGATTCTACTCTATATAAAATACTTAAGAAGAAGAAGCTAGATAATAATCTCTAAATACTTAATAATTATAATAATCTAAGATATAATCTCTAGTTCTAATATATTATATATTATATAGAATTAATCTAGATAGAGATAGCTTTTAAAGTCTAAATTAGTAAAAGTTATTTATATTTAGATAGGCTTTATATAGAAAAGAATTAAATTAAATTAAATTATTAAAAAGTTTATTAGAGTAAAAAGTTAAATTAAATAAGATTAATAAAATAATATTTAGAATATAGTAGATTAGTTAATTATTATAATAGAATATTAATAAAGAAAAATATAATAGCTTATAAAGTTATTATATACTAATTAAAATACTAAATATAGTTTTATATAGTAAAATAAAACTAATATTATAGAGTTTTTTTAACTAGTTATAAGTTAAATATATATAGTTTATTTTATTTAAAATATATATTAGAGATTTATAAAATAGAATATTTTAAATTCTATTTTATATATAATAGATTAAATTAAATACTTTTAGTTTAGATATAGATATTAATAATTAAAAACTTTAATAATAAAAGCTATTTATATAGCTAGATATATAAATAGTTTAATTATAGTTATAGCTTCTAAAAGAGAAAACTTATTATCTAATAATAATACTTATTTTTTCTTTTTAATTTAAAGCTTTATTTTAATTTAGATTAATTAATTACTTAATTAATTAATTACTAGATAACTTAAATAGTTATAATATCTAATATAAATATTCTAATTTCTTAAAACCTAGTTAATATTTTTAATAAAGCTTTTAAAATAATAATTATTATTATTTAAAATAATTTAATATAGCTATTTACTAATTATATTTATAATATATTTTTATAATTAATTAAAGATTTATTTATAATAATAAAGCTATTATTAATTATATAAATCTAATAGCTATATTTACTTAGTTTATTATTTTATTATATAGTTTATTATTTATAATTATTATAGTTATTATAAATACTTATAAAGAATTAAAATTAGTTTAAATAAATATTATATTTTAAGTATTATATAGTATAACTAAGTATATATAAATAGATATTAGATTAATATTAAATTTATATTATTTAATAAAAATTTTCTATAGTAGTAAATATATATTATATTTATAAATATAAACTTAATTAATAATTTTAAATAATTAACTTTTCTTTTATTTCTAAATAAATATAATTTAGATTAAATTAAAATAAATTCTAATATACTAATACTAAGCTTAATCTAATCTAATTAATATTCTAATCTAAACTATTTTAAAATATAAAAAGTTTAATTAATAAATTAATTCTTAAAAGCTATTTCTATTTTTATTAATTTAATATAATATATAATATATTAAAACTATAAATTATATATTAGATTATAATAAGCTTATATAAGAGAATAGCTATTCTTAAAATATAATATTTACTTAAGCTAATCTTAATTCTCTATAAGTATTTATAATAGCTATAGTAACTATAAATAGTAAGCTATATAATAAAATAATAAACTAAATAAATATAGCTATTAGATTTATATAATTAATAATAGCTTTATTATTATAAGTAGATTTTTAATTAATTATAAAGATATATTATAAATATAATTAGTAAATAGCTATATTAAATTATCTTAGATAATAGTTATTATTATTTTAAAAGTTTTATTAGAAATATTAATTAG